TCAAGCTTTTGGCACATAAATATTTATTTACAATAAAACTTGATAATTTTATCTTCAACCAAAAACAGCTTTGTATTAATATCATGTAATGTGACTTCTTTTTTGACTCATTAATGTAAAAACTTCTTATCATACCAGCATGTGATTGTGTCAGCTTAATTTGTCACATTAACTTCTTAAGCATGCAAACTCTACACACTATTTTAGACACTATTTTGTCTTAAAGCCTGAATTTATCATGTTGTAAATTTCTAGGATTTGGTAGCAGAAGATTCATGCAACTCATTACAATAACCAAAACATGAGACATAATTCATAATGAATACTAGTCTGCCCTCTAGCACAAAATCCAGAAACATAGGATAAGGTTTCTCCCTACTACCCTAACACCTATTAACATAGCATAGCTGAATTTAACACTATTAAACTATTATTGTGAAATTGTTACAATTTTAATGTTAAATACTTATCCAAATACAACTAATTAAATAAGGAAATTACAATCCTCGTGACATACCATTTAAATTTGAATAAAAAATTCCATAGTTATGTGAGTTTTGTGTAAAAGTTTCATGTGATACTTGTTACTTTGTCTATACACTAAAAAGATTATACATAAAAACGGATAATAATGACCATTTTTACTCTGGCTTAAACAAATTTAACAACTCTGTTTTTATATCATTTCTCTAAGGCTAAGCTCTTTTTGATTAGTCGATGAATTATTTTACTGCATATGACTGATAATATATCAGCTTAAATTTACAAAACTAATGTAGCTTTAAAATATGAAATGACATAAAATATATTTTTTTTATATTTCAATTAAAATTACAATGCTAGAATTGAAAAATAAAAAAGGTAAATTATAAACTACTTGAAATAACTTATCAAAATAAGCTACAAATTGATAACAATAAGCTATAAACACATGACAAAATAACACTCACCAAACAGAGTATTTAAACATAAACATAAACTAGTAAATTATAAGAAATGAAATGAAAACTTAAAAAATGATTTTGCCAAACAAAATCTTATTCTGGTTATTTGTATTTTTTCTTCTTACTTGCCTATAAATAACTCAGCTCACTTTCATTCCAATGCATATTTCAAAACAACATAGTTTTCTCACAAAAACATATCAGAAAAAAATGGCAGGCAGAGTTGTTATGTCTCTCCTCCCTTTCCTCTTACTCTTGTTGATTGTGAGTTACTAACTTTTCTTGCGTGCTTCTATCTTTTACTTATATTTTTCATCATCTATTTATCATAATAATCTATCATTTTCATCTTTATTTGCAATTGTGTGTGCATGTTAAATTTAATAAATCTCAATATGTTCATAATCTATCATTTTCATCTCTACTTGCAATTGTACATGCATGTTGAATTTAATGCATGCTTCTAAGATCCTTATCCTTAGTTGTTTTCCATGCATTCAACATACTCAGAATCCGAGCTGTTCTATATGATTTAACTAAATTATGATGTTTTTTGCTGTAATGAAATTAAAAATATTTTACTCACTATTTCAAATTATGTATTTATCTCCTATATATAAATCATGCATATCTCTTCTCTGTACAGCAGAATGTGTCTCATAACACATTTATGTTTTTTTAATCAAATATAAAATCGAAAACATGTAATTAATTTGTTATTCACTAATATCCCTTTATTCAATTGTATTGTAGAATGGCCATGAAAGTTTTGCAAGAGATATGAACCAAGTTGATCAACCTTACCTTGATGGTTGGCTCAAAAACACTCAATTGAAGAACCAAAAATCCTCCCTTAACTCCGAACAAGTTTATCTTGATGGATGGTTGAAAGATACCCGGGGTGAGAAAGCAAAAATCAATCCTGACTCCAATCAAGTTTACCTTGATGGATGGTTGAAAGATATTCGAGCCGAAAAAGAAAAATCCAACGCTGACTCCAACCAAGTTTATCTTGATGGATGGTTGAAAGATACCCGAGGTGAGGAAGAAAAATCCAACCCTGACTCTAACCAAGTTTACCTTGATGGATGGTTGAAAGATATCCGAGTAGAGAAAGCACAAGTTAACCCTAACTCAAACCAAGTATACCTTGATGGGTGGTTGAAAGATACCAGAGCTGAAAAAGTCAAAGTCAACCATGATCCCAACCAAGTTTATCTTGATGGATGGTTGAAAGATACTCGAGCTGAGAAAGAAAAATCCAACCTTGACTCCAACCAAGTTTACCTTGATGGATGGTTGAAAGATATCCGAGCTGAGAAAGAAAAATCCACCCCAGACTCCAACCAAGTTTACCTTGATGGATGGTTGAAAGATACCCGAGTTGAAAAGGTAAAATCCGCCTCTGACTCCAACCAAGTTTACGTTGATGGATGGTTGAAAGATACCCGAGCTGAAAAAGGAAAAGTGAACTCTGACTCCAACCAAGTTTACCTTGATGGATGGTTGAAAGATATCCGAGCTGAGAAAGTAAAAGCCAACCTTGACTCCAACCAAGTTTATCTTGATGGATGGTTGAAAGATACCCGAGCCGAAAAAGCAAATTCCAACCCTGACTCCAACCAAGCTTACCTTGATGGATGGTTGAAAGATATCCGAGCTGAGAAAGCAAAAGCCAACCTTGACTCCAACCAAGTTTATCTTGATGGATGGTTGAAAGATACCCGAGCCGAAAAAGCAAATTCCAACCCTGACTCTAACCAAGTTTACCTAGATGGATGGTTGAAAGATACACAAGCAGAGAAAGAAAATTCCTCCCCTAATTCTAACCAAGTTTATCTTGATGGCTGGTTGAAAGATAGCCATGTTGAGAATGCAAAATCCATCTCGAATTCCAAGCAAGCTTACCTTGATGGTTGGTTGAAAGACTCGCATGCAGAGAACCCTATGAAAATTGGACATGATTTGGCGGAATCAAACAGAAATTTATCTTCAAAAGTTGACCATACAGAAGCATTCAAGGTAGCTTTTTTCGGTATAGAAGATCTTTATGTAGGGAATGTAATGACCTTGCAATTTCCTATCAGAGAATATGCTAAGTTCTTGCCAAGAAAAGTTGCCGATGACATTCCTTTTTCCAAATCACAAATTCCAAGCCTTCTACAACTATTCTCACTCACAAAAGATTCTCCTAAAGGTGAAGACATGATAGACATAATTAATCAATGTGAGTTTAGGCCCAACAAAGGGGAGACCAAGGCTTGTCCTACTTCTTTAGAGTCCATGCTTGAATTTGTTCATAGTGTTATTGGTGCCGAGACTAATTATGACATTCACTCGACTAGCTATCCCACGACATCAGGTGCGCAATTGCAGAACTTCACTGTTATGGATATCTCAAAGGATATCTATGCTCCTAAATGGGTAGCATGTCACCCTAGGCCTTACCCATACGCTCTTTACTATTGCCACTACTTAGACATAGGGAGTAAGATCTTCAAAGTTCTTTTAAAGGGTGAATATGGAGACATAATGGATGCTTTGGGAATTTGCCACCTAGACACATCTGACATGGATCCTAATCATTTTATATTTGAACTACTTGGAATGAAGCCTGGGGAAGGTCCATTGTGCCACTTCTTCCCTGTTAAGCATGTCTTATGGGTGCCACGCCCACCACATGCCACCAAATGAATAAAAGGAAATTAGTTCATATCGGTTAGTCGGTGTCTGTCCCAAAACTTTTCATGTTGTTCCTATGCTTTTAATTTCTGTTTACGTTAAGGTCTTGTTTGTTCACTATGTAAGGTCTTGTTCTAGGAACTAGATAATTGTGTTTTAAAATAAATCTCAATTTAATATGTTAAAGATTGAGTTGGCGTCAGTTTAGAACAATTATCCTAGTGGTATTATGTGTGTTATCCTCTGTACTGTAATTGTAATTCTGTTTGTATTAATGAATATGAGGAATTGCTTTAAGAACTAGTTTCTATCACTTTTCAATCATGAAAATGACAGTAAAATAATAATTTCACTACAGATTCAAACAATTCAAATAAACCAAACCAAACATATAGAGATTTCTCTTGCTTTCAAAAAACTAATAAACAAGCAAAATTAACCAAATCTAAAGATAGCAGACACTGTTGGTGCATTATATTCCGATCAGAATATATGATTTTGGTGTGGATTGAAAGAAAAATCAAAACATCACGAACAAGTCCAAATGCTCCTCCAAACCCACCGCGTGCAGGAAAATGTGTTGGCAATGATCGATGAAACTGCACTGTAATCATTTACAGAGGTGTGTAGAAGTTTTACTCTAGTAGTAGTTGCTATGTTATCATTATATGGCCATTTCTACTACATTCTATTGTTCATCCCTAAAATTTTAATTCTATGAACTAGGATGCCAAGTCTATCTCATGTAGAATCACATGCCCCATTATCTGATACTCTGCATGGTTGGTTGATGAATTACAGACAATAGAAAATTCCGAATACGATGGCTTGGATGACATCTGCTCTATTTTCGATGATTCTGGATTGGACTCAATCACTCCCAACTCCCAATGACCTTGCTTTCTATGAAAACAAAATGACATGAAATTGTAATGTAGCTAGTGGAACTTCAACTTCTGTTCTGGATACACTGGAATTGGATACTCCTCTAGATTTAGATTATGATCTTTCGGTAAGCATATGATTATGACTATTGGTTACTCTTGCTCACTTCACTTTTTAGAGTTTTGCAAGTTAATGACATGCTATGTGATTCTCAATTTGCATGCAGAATTTGACATTTTGTATTAAAAAAGGGTGTGTCTACACAAATCCATCTTCAGTTATAATAATTAGAACTCTAGTAAAGTAATTACTAACTTTGTGGACTACATAACAGTAAAACACCAAGCATCACTAACAGAAAACGGTGTTGTGTCATGCATATTGCACATAAGTTACATACTTTAAAATACACATACTTACTGCGTAGAGAACAAGTAAATCAGAAAAAGCAAGACATTAAAAACGTTAATAATAAGAGTTAAAAAAATGCTACTGAGCAGCATCTTCAGAAAACCTGGCATCAAAAGGGGCTGAGGAATGCGAAAGAGCTGAACTAGAAGAACCAGCTCCAGAGCCATGCTGCAGTTCAATCACAAGCCAACGAACGGCTTTACTCATCTGTTCCAAGCGAACCGCGCTGATCGGCGGAAGACTAGTCACGGTAGCTTGTCCAGCCTTTCCTGCGACATGCCCCGTAGCCTCGTCTACTAAACACTCTGATCCAATTCTTTGCTTCACAGATTCCACATACTCCTCAGCTTGATCACATGCCACTCTAAACAATTCCCACTTTTGCTTAAAGCTTTCAAGTGCGGTATCGGTTGCTGCTGTTTTATTTGGGGTTGCACTTTCTTTGGCTTCAAGAACAGTTGCTGCTGCAGCAACAAAATCTTGGTAGGCGCAATTCAGAGAATCAACCACACTATCCATTGAGCCTGTTTAATCATGTTAAAGAAGGAAAGTTAATGTAGACACCTATGAATCACAAACACTAAAATTAAACATCATGACACTGACACTGACACGTCGACACCGGTTAATAATTTGAAAAAGGAAATGAATAAATTGAAAAATAAGACATTAAAAATGAAAGGTGAAGAACAGTAAAAACTATCTTCCTATGAAGATGATAAATTCCAGAACAAATTGCAAAGAAAGAATGAAGGAAGAGAAATAATAGAGAATGTATGAATCGCGGTAAATAGAATAGATCTAGTGCAACGCAACGCTATAAGAAGGAAAAATTGAAAAAGAAAGCGGAAGAAATGGAACCTTGGGAGAGATAGAGATGATGAAGTTGGGGTTGGCAGTTGAGTTAAGTGAAAAATGGAAGTTGATGTTTCTGTTACACGAATGGCACAGCGGTCGGGAGCAATCAAAACGTTCCACTGGTTTGTAATTAGTAATTACAATGTCTATCTGTTTTTTTTTTTTCTTTTTCTAATAAGGATTTTAAAACATTTGACTGTAAATTAGGTTAAAAAATTAGTCTGGAAAAGCTCATCTTAATATGTGTTAATAAATAAATATTAAAAAATTATCCTAGGTTTAGTGTTATTTTTATTAAATTATTTCATGTCATTATCGGATTTAAACTAGGGTCAATATAACAAATTCTCTTTTGGAGTCAAATGGCCACAAATAAATGGGTGGTTTAGTGGTGGAGGTTTAGATATTTAAAACGTTTTTTTTTAAATCTCAAATTTAAATCTTAATTTGATACTTAACATCGGATAATAAGATTTTAAAAATGAATGACCACAAATAAAAAAATAACTAAATTAAAGGTTAATGTAATTGGCTATTTTTGAAAAATACAATTCAAATTATATTGTAAGGAAAGGTTTAAAGAAATTATTTAGGAATGTCAACGAAGTAGAAAATATGTGGAGGATGCTTTTTAACTCTCCGCCACTTTTCCTAATATTTTCTCCATCTTTATCTCCGATTCTCGTGGCAGAAAAATGTTTTTTTCTCTCCCCCAATATTTTCTCCATCCTTATCTCTGATCCCCGTCATAGGGGAATGTTTTTTCTCGTCCACATAGATCCCCACATAGAATCGCAGATCTACGGAGATCGAATCATAAAAAAAATTATATTTTTTATCAAAACAATGAGACTTGTATTTAGCTATTTTTTCCTTTTTAAAACATATATTTTGCATATTTATTTTTTAAAAAAATATATAAAATAAAAACACATTTTGCATCAATAACAAACAAATGTAAAAGCACTTGCAGTTACGAAAACCTAACCACGAATTTACTAATTAAATAAAATTCAGGTTGTTAATTGAAGTATATTGAAGTTGAAGAGTAATTACCAATGAACAAATGAGAATGGTTGTTTTGATAATGATAAGAACAGAAGAGATATGGAATGGAGGAGATAAAGAGAATTGAGAAAAGAAAAAGAGGAGAGGGTGTTTACAATGTATGTATTGGGTGCACTTTTTTAGGTTTAGGTACTTGGATGGTGAAACAATATATTATACAATGAAACAAACAAAAATGATCCGCTTATGACTCTTTACTTCCTAAAATATTAATTAATTTTTTTATAAAATAAACATGCAAAATTATATACTTATATATTATATAATATATTATATATATAAAAGTTAAATAGGATGGTCGGGGTCAGGGAATCCACGGGACGGAGGGTACTTCTCCATTCCCCACCCTAAAGTATCATCGTGGGAACTTTTTTCCTCCATCCTCGTTCCTGCGGAGGACAAGACTTCAGAGCTTCAAACAGATAATCACCATAGGGAATCTTGTTAACGAATGCAAATTGACATCCCTATATTTATTGCATTTGTAATGAATGACACAAGATATTTGTAAAATGAGGGAAGAATAATATTATATTCTAAAACTAAAAATAGAGTAAGGATAGATGATAATGACAAATCACAATTTTCGATATGGTGGAGAGAGAATTGATCTGCAAGGTTAGCACTCCAACACTCAAGTTAGTATATGAGGGAGAATAGTAAATTGAAATTGAATTTAAAAATTATGTACCTGAACTGGCGCGCTTTGTATATATACGGAGAGGAAATAACAACCTCATATTTGTTAGGCGTGAATCACGAAGATTCATTGGATGTATTTGGAGTTTGGATCTCGTGTACTTATCAGTGGGGTAACTCACACGTGTTGAGAATATTCTGGAAGGATTATGGTTTCCTTAGAGTGGTCGGTCAGGGATCGATGCGGTTGGCCTAGAACAGTTGTCCCCTAAACCCTGTTTCTACATAGCAAGACAATGGTTTGTACCTTTGGCCTCCGTTGCTGATCACTCTTTTACCTATCATGGACGAGCAAAATTATGTGTTTTAGTTTCTTCGAGTTTCGTGTCTTTAATGTCATATACTTCAAACGTATTTTTCGGATGTATCCTTTTTATGACCCTTTGAAACTAGAACACTTGAGTGTTGTGTGTGAGTGATTTAGAGTGTTTGATAGAATCTATCTTTCTTTGCATGTCATCCTAAGATTCTTAAAGAGTCAGTTACACATTTATTTGAGTTATCTTTCTCAGTTTGTTACTATTTTCTTTCTTTTTGATGTTATGCTTTCATGTGCCTGCGAAAAAAAATAGTACATGCCATGAGTCAAAAATCAAAAAAGAATACTCAATCTTCATGGGTAGACTCTATTTACTCTTCAACCACTTATGTCCTTACCAAAGAGGGTAATATTGGTGGAGCCTTTTTTAAGGTATGTCCATTTTCGGATTGGGGTGTCTTGACCCTTAGCGAAAATGACAGGATATGCAGCAAGTATGATAATTGTGTCATTCCTTTTTATGAATGCATTTTCTCGATCCTGCACTTTTGACTGCCTTATAATGCTTTTGAGATTAAAGTCTTCTAGTATTGGTGTGAATATTTGAAAGGGATGTGATCAGTGCATTTTAATGCACACTCTTCTACTATTGTGTTACGATAAATCTATATTTTTTTTCTTGTTATTTCTATTATTTTTAGTTTGTTTTCCAATTTTAATTTAATTTTGCTCTTATTTTAATTTCTGTGAGTGCAATATACTCTTAAATATATTTTGAATGATGTCAAAATTAGGTAGCTTGGCTCTTTGTGTATATTGGGCCTTATAGTCTTTGTCGAGATGTGCATCATCATTATAATAAATGTAAAATTAGATTACATAAGCCATCACATGCTAAAAATATGATTTTTCATGAAAAAGTTGTGAATGGGTCGATACGTCTTTGATATGTACCGATACATACTGAGTTGATTTTAAAAGGATATGAATTTTCCTCTAATGTATCGATATATAGGCAAGATGAGTCTATACATCATGCGAATGGGTCGACCCATCCATAGTTGGACTCGAATCCATTTGAAATGTCTTTCCAAGAAAACGCCAATGCCTTCAATGTATCGATACATTGAAGGGATGGATCGATACATTCATCAAATGAGTCGACTCCCCCGTGTTTAGAGTCGACTCCTTTTGAAGCATTTTTTCAAATAATTGGCTACTGCCTTGAATGCATCGACTCCTTCATGGCTTGTATCGACTCATTCATCTTATGTATTGACTTATTCCAATTTGAAGTAAATAAATCATGTACCAAGTTTCTAAATTTGCATTTTGGCGAAAAATCTGTTTTGCTCATTTCATTTCTACACACACACATACATATAAATATGAATTCATGCATCATTCTCATTATTAAAACCTGAAAGATACGAAGAACTTTCAGCATCTCCAAGCTTTCTTTGTATGCACTCAACAACTACACTTAATCATTTTTGTTGTTTGTTATTAAGACAAGATTGATAAGGTCCAATTTAGGTTGGTGTAATCAAATAGGGTTTAGTTTTTCTTTAGGGGTTTCATAGATAAAACCTTTAGGGTTTTTACTTCAAGATCAAGGGTTGATTTCGAGATTTTTGCATAAGTCCTTGCAATTTGGATTCATTCGAGTGAAAGCTTTGAAGAACTAGGATTCTTGCAAAGGAGTAGCGGTAACCAGAGGATAAATTGAAAGGCTTGGGGCAAGATTTCACAATTTTGATTCAGCTGAGTGAAAGCTTTGAGGAACGGTGGTTCGGAGGGATAACCAGACCAGATACGAGACACATTTCTCTGGTAGCAGCACCAAAGATTTGATCTCCTTCTATAGCCCTTAGCCTTTTCTCGATTGTCTCGAAATTCTCATGAAGCTTATCATTTTTCTCAAAATCAAATTCAGATGTATCAGGCATATCATAAACAGGTTGATGCTTATTGAAGTATGGTTGCATGTGTGTATGCACAGCAGCTGGTGCAAACATATGAACTATATGCGGAATTTCAGATACCAGAGGCACAGTTTGTTGAGTAGTAAAAGCCACAATAGGTGCGGGCACAAAATGAGGAGGTAAACCATACAGAGGTAGACTCGTTATAGTAATAATTTGAGGAGGTTCCACAACAGTGTTGACAATTTTGGAGACAACAGTGGGCTGGGTGTCCATTTTTGCACGAATAACCTGCAGCATCTCCATAATTTGTCATATCTTTCCACCCAAGTCTTCCAACTTGTTGACGACTCGATCCAGTTAATGATTCTCTTCCATCCTTCTTTTGGCCTGAGCACAAGTATTGTACTGATGTGGAGGATTCAACTTGAAAACTGGAGATGATAAGACGAAATGAGTTTTGCTTAAAGACATGCAATGCAAATGTGACAACATATGCAAAATGCAAATGTGAATGAAAACGCAAAAAGTTTCGTGGAACTTAATAAATATTTGTAAACATAAAGGAGATATCATCAAAGGAAACTCATTTTCATTAATAAGATAAGATTACAAATTTAGTATTTCTTACAAGAGTCCTAAACAAAAAGCTAAATAAAAGCTAACAAAAGTCCTAAGGAGATTCTCCTAGCAACCTCGTGTTGAGCTTC